GATGTCAATTTGGCTAAATTTTTTTTCCATCATTCACTGTGGGGTAAGAGATTGAGGTTTATTTCTCAGGGAATGTCACACTGCCTGGCCCTTTAGGTTGAGAGTTCTTGTTTTATAGTAATAATAAGCTACATGGTTTCTCTTTTCTGTAAGGAGTTGTATAAAATGTATCCCTTTTGAGCATTACCTATCCTAGATGATGATTAAGGACAAATTCTATGTCTCTTTGTAGTTACTAGCTGCCATCACAGAACTTGTGATGGATTCCATAAAGGCATGTGATATATGGGCTAAGAAATGAACCTAATTGGGGAATCTTACATGGTCTTCAAAATAGGTCACAAATCTGTTGATCATCCCACCCAACACATGTACAGGGCCATGATTGATGAAGTGAGGCTCTGCTCCTGTACATACTGTGCCTTGGCACAAATGGACTACTAGGGCAACAGGTTGTTTAGAGTTGGATATTAGCTATTTATGACAACTGGCTGAGAAAATCAGCTGCCCATCACTGAGGGATTGTGGGGCTTGTGAGATGTTGTAGAGGGAAGCACTGATTCCATGGGAGGCTTGATTTAGAGACAGTTCCTCTGGTTGAGAAGTTGAGGTCCAATCAACATAAAGTGAGCTCTCAGTCACTTTCAGATAATGACCAAAAATGGTGGTGATTTTTCTGGCAGTCCAGTTTATCTCACTCCAGAAGAGAGTACTTTGGGAGCCCCCCCAAATTGCACATTAAATTGTTTTTGAGTTATATGTACAATATCTTTAGTGGCTTTTTTTTCTGATTGTTAAAGGAACTTGGAAAATTCATAGGCTCCCCAAAATTAGAAATTAAGCTCTAGATCCATAAGAACATTATAAGAATAATTTCTTTAATGTCTATACATGCCAATTTTAAAGATTATTATAGAAGCACTGAAACTTCTCAATTTAAAATAAAAAACGTTTCAGATCTTGTATGAATTATCTTTTTGCTTTCCTTTTTTGTTACCTTGGAAACATCTTAGCAATTTTGACCAAAATTAGGTGCACTCTAAGGCATGTCAGTTAACAACGTGATTTAGTAGAGATCTTTTTCAAAGATGTTGAGCTGTGTCTACTAACTATAGCATTCTTCATGAATCACCATTGGATTTCTTGATTTTTCTTATTCTCTGTCCAGATACATAGGCATCCAGATACATAGGTTCTTTAAGGGCAAGAGTTTTGCTTATGGAATAATGTTTCTGCCATTCCAGTGATGAGTATAATTTGATATTGTGAAGAAAATAAAGAAACCATCATGTGTCTTCTAAACCCACGGGGATGGAGACACTTTTTTTTTTAGGAAGCTATAAGCTTGACTCTATTCTCATTATCATTTGCTATTGTGGAATGCCTTTAACTTTAATTTCTTAAGTTTTTTTTTTTTTTTCCTGAGGACTCTCAGTTGATTGATGGTAAACTCAAGTCCCAGTGGGTCTGCAGTAACATTTTGACTGCTTACTATCACAAAAGTATTCCTGATTGACTTATGATAAAACAGTTACATGAGAGTAAATAATAGAACATTGGTAGGTTTTGTGTCAGTTGGATTGGACTTACCCAGCAGGACATTCTTAGCATGGAAATACTTGAAAATATCCTAAATATTAAGGCTTGGGATAGTAGTTGTCCCATTACAAAGGAAAATTAAGCTTTCTCTTCTAGGGATTTCTGTGCAAGTTTGGTTTCTTCCTAATACTAGCTATTAAATTCTTATTTATAGAAGGCCTCACAAATACTGAAATTTATTTGAAAAGGACAGTGTCTTAATCTAGTCCCCAACATCTAGCAAAGGCACATAGTACTCAGTAAAGGTTTCCATGATCTGAGTTAATTTGGCTCTGTGCTTCTGCTCCTAGATCTTGAGAAGTTGGCTTTGTTGGGCTGTTTTGTGTATTCAGATTTTTTTATTTCTTTTTTTCAATCTCTCTAAGTGGAAACATCCTTTCCTTATATATTGAAATAAGTCTTCAAAATTGATTTATTCTGATATTTATGACTGCATTTAAAATTTATTTTATGGTAGTAAAAAAAGGAATTAGTATGAATTCTGAGACTAAACCTTCTCTAGAGGCAGCCCACCATAGCTGAAGCGTCTCTTATTCTAGGTTAGCCTTTTTTTTTTCTCATTCTTCTTTTGTAAGGAAAGTTGTGGACAAAAATTGGAACAACAGTATATCCCCATTAATATAATAATGCTAAACTCAGGATTTCAGATTATTGAAATCTATGGAGTGAAAAGATTTGAAAGTTAGGATGTGAAAGCAGAAAGGGATCTTGGGCCTTGTCTTTATTTTAGAGACAGGAAAATAGGCTTCAGGGTCACTCTGCTGAGTCACAAAATTGAAATGCAATTATCAGACCTTTACTTTTCTTTCTTTTATACTAAGTGGAAACCCATACTAGTATATTACTTGTCATCAGGAAGATAAGAAATGAAGGTTTTTCTAAGTAATTCTGAAGTTTTTCTGAAGACTTTCATAAACCCAGCATATTTATCCCAGCATGTTTATCTGAGGCAGACCTCAGATTGGGACTACTTTTTGTTTCTGTTTAGACATAGAATTCCAGTAGCACATCTTGTAGAGCAAAATTGAACCATAGCGATCTAAGATCTTCCTGCTCTCTCAATCATATTGTGCCTTTGTTGAATGTTTATTGTGATTCAGCACTATGTTAAATATATTTCTTATGAAGTCACACTTTCTTGCAAATGGCTCTGCCTCTAATTATCAAGTTATTTTGCCTCCTTGCTTCAGTTTCTTCTTCATCTGTTAACTATTGACTACATCATAGGATTGTATTGAGGATGAAATGAATCATGTGGGAGGTATTCATTCAGTACAGTGCTTGGCATCCCCTGAGAAGTTAATTTTTCTTTCTATCGTCATTTTCATTCTGTTTCTGGGAAAAAAATAAGACTGACATCCTCCCAGAAATCCACATGGATTTATCTGTGCCTGTATCTCTAGTCTCTCTGTTCTGTTTAAATGATGTCATGGCTAAGTAATTCCAAAACATCAAAAAGCTAACTTTGCTCACATGTGAGTGACAATCAGCTCCACCTAGTGGTGACGATCCTATCTTCTAATGTGTCCCTCCTGAGTAAAGTTCCCCAGTTCCTTGTTTGCCATGGTTTCCCAACTCTAGAACTTTTCATATGCTGTTTCTTTTACTTGAAATGCCTCTTAACTCTACCCAGTCTCTCCACTCTTCTTCTCCACCTTCTACACGTTAAGTGCTGTCTATTCCCGTAGCATTTCTTTTCTTTTTTGGTGTTATTTGGGGATTGAATCCAGGGGCCCTTTTTATTATGAGATTGGGGCTCTCATTAAGTTGCCTAGGCTGGCTTTGACTTGTGATCCTCATGTCTTCTTCTCCAGAGCTATTGGGATTACAGGCATGCACCGTTATATCTGGTTCTTTACATTCGTTTCTTTATCAGAGTACATACCACATTATGCTACCAGTCTGTGTCATCCACACTAGGCTGAGCTCCATGAGTCCATGGGATCAGAATCTACTTTTGTCTTTTTATTACAGCTAACCCAATTCCTGGCTCACAATAGGCATCTAAAAAATGGATAACTTAATAATGTAAAACATTCTAGAGTAAATTGTTATAACCAAATCAAATCTCAAATTAGGTTATAGTGGGTTCAAATATTTATGAGATTTGATTTGGTTATAACAATATGTGTGAAGACTGTATCAATCTAGCATATTCATAACAGTAAGTCTGTCAGCAGCTAAAATGATTGTCAGAAGCTACAAACATGCCTGAAACTGCAGGACTGCTGAGCGATTTGCAACCATCTTTATACCAGTTTTCAGTTAGAGTAGAAAACTGAAATTACAGGTGCTAAAACATTACTTTTGTAAAACTACAGGGGCTACAGTCTTGAGTTAAATGGATCAGTGTAGATACAGTCACCAGTTTCCCTCTCTGTTCTGTGGAGTTGAGGACAGTAAAAACAGACTAAGGGGGCATTGGGAAGAGGAAGAGTAGGGCATTGATCAGAATTCTGACAAAATGGTATGTCTGCACTGTCTACCTACAAGTCTCTATGCTACTATCACCACTCTGTGACCTTGGGCAAGTTAAGTAATTTCTCTGACTCATTTTTTCACCTGTAAACTAGAGGTCTCTCTTACCTACATCTGAAGTACCTATCTCATGGGATTATAATTTTTTTTAATATTTATTTTTTAGTTTTAAGTGGACACAGTATCTTTATTTTACATTAATGTGGTTCTGAGGATGGAACCCAGTGCCTCATGCATGTTAGGCGAGCACTCTCCCCCACTGAGCCACAACCCAGCCCCTGGGATTGTAATCTTTAAGATTAAATGAGATCATTATTATAAGTGCCTAGTAAATGTTAGCTATTATAGTTTTTTCTGTTTAAAAATGGTGAGAGGATCAATTGTGAGAAGGCCTCTGACATTAAGAGATCATACCTGGGCTGGGGATGTGGCTCAGGAGGTAGCGTGCTCGCCTGGCATGCGTGCGGCCCGGGTTCGATCCTCAGCACCACATACCAACAAAAATGTTGTGTCCGCCAAGAACTAAAAAATAAAAATTCTCTCTCTCTGTCTCTCTCCCCTCTCTCCCCTCTCTCACTCTCTAAAAAAAAAAAGAGAGAACATACCTGCCTCGGTCACTACTGCAGCTCCAGCACTTGGCCTGCATATGGAGGCTATTTAGCAAATGTTTGTTAAATTACTACATAAAGACAATTATGGTAGAGTTTTTAGAGATCTGTGAGTATTGTGTTCTTTCCTAGCCTATCTCTGGCTCATGAAGCACTTCACTTCTACTGCACAGTACTTGGATTCTTGAGTTTTCTTAATACTTCTTGTGTTAACTTTGGACTATACCAAGAAAACAAATATAACTCATTCCTATTAGGAAGAACTGGTGTCTTATCAACACTTAAATCCCCCAAGAATGGCAGCAATGAGGTTTCTATCTGAACATTTATTCCACAGTCATAGAAACTGAAGATGGAGAAGACCTGAGGACATCTTGTCCATCCGTGTTGTTGTACAAGAAAGTGGCTGGAGCAAAACAGCCTGTTCACTTGATACTCACAAGACAGCTTTTGGTTCTTGGAGCATAGGGATTGCACACATTAAAATGAAGACACAATGCAAATACTCTTCACAAACCTTCAGAAAATACTTATAATTACATTATTTTCATAAAATGATCAGTAACTAAGAAGAGTGAGGGAATCCTGGGTTAGATGGGCATTTGAGGTGGGTGAAGAAAGAGAAACTGAACAATGCAGATAGTGGTTTTAATGACTAGAAAGCAATTTCCTTGGGATTTTCTGGTTTGCGTATCAAAACATAAATTGGGAGGAAAGGAGGTTTTAAAGTAGTTTCTTTTCCCTTTATTCTTTGTCCACACCAAGGAAGTGCTTAACTTGCTCCAGGGCTCAGACAGACCCAGCACCAACACTGAGACAGATCATAGCACTGTTGCACTGGACTCTTGTTCCACTTAGCACTTCTTGGGCTGACAGGGAAACAGCAGCTCCTTATAGGGTTTGTGCATCAGCAAGATTCATGAATAATTAGGAGTCTCCTCCACGCACATTAAAGACCTCAACTGATTGGGCTCTGTGGCTAGCTGCCTCACTTGGCTGTCCCAATCTTTCTTCCAATCTATTTTTATTTATTGGAGAAATCGCCTTTCTCCTTAACTTTGTGGCCTAAACGCTTTGGGGCCCTTATTATTTATATGAACCAAAAAGACATCCATTTCAGCTTGCCCAGTATGCTGTATGTGCTTCCTGTGCCAGGATTTCCCCTTTGGAGGATGGGACATGTACCAGGTTACCCAGCACCAGAGCTTGGAAAAGAAGTCTTCCTAATCTCACGAAATGGAAGCCAATGAGAGGAGGCAAGGTCTAGCATCTTTTAGCTCTTTCTAATTTACCAAAATGCAACCCTCCACCTGAAGTTCCTGAAGTCTTCTGATCTTTGTTGTTGGGTCTTTTTTTTTTTTTTTTTTTCAGAGCCTGAGGAGGGAAGTTGAGAGAAGAGAGGTGGAATAGAACAGAAGAGTTTCAAGGACCCACCATTTCATGAAGTCTTTTTACAAAACACAATACACTGTTTCACAAATTGCAAAACACTTTTCAATTACTACCATTTAAAAAACCATTGCTACTGAACATGAAGACTGCTTCATTTCAACACAAGCAATTATGGTTTTTCTTTACCCAAGACTTGGGAATATTTTAAGCAATATTGATAGCAGTAAGCCTGCCTTTGCCGCCTGCTGCTTCTCACTGCATTTGGCCACAATTTTGGCCAGGTACTTCCTCAGAAGGTACTTGAGAAGTATGCACTGGTCCTCTACTCTGTGGATAGGGTGGTATGATTGCCACCGCTAAGAATGCCTCAGTAGAGAAACTTAAGGTAAACCTGATATACAAAAATCCAAACTTACAAAACAGATACATTAAGGGATAATTAATTGCATTACAAAAGGATTCTTTACAAAAGAATTCACCTCTGGGTTCCCTTAAATAGCTTCTCAAGTACAGTCACCATATGAGTTGAGTTACAAAAATGTCCACATACATTAGGAGCATGGCTGTTAACACGAATTGAGGTACACCTGTACATCAGCCTTCCATGCTGCACAAATATCCAGGGGTGCTCGGAGTATGGCGGCAGAATCTCTAGGTATCCTTGTTTGTCAGAAATGGGTAGGGATGGCTAAGGGGCATGATCTTCCAAAGGCAGCTATAAACCTATTTTTGAGCATAGGGTGGGGTTGTGAGGAGGGGGAAGATACTTTAAAGCAAATTGTCCTTTCTGGTTCGGGAGCTCACCTGATCCCTCACTGTTGAACTGTTTCATCTGAAGTTGACCGCAAGTCTAATTTTGGAGTCCTCTTACCTCCCTTATAAGCATCTCTGAATTTATCTCCACTCCTGAGTTTTCTCAGTTAACTAATTGCTAAGGTGTAATCTAATTACAGGTTAAAGTATTATATTTCCCCTAGAGCACTGGATAGCTCTTGGTGGAATTGCAGACATAGTACTAAAAAAAAAAAAAATAGAGGAGAAACTGTGAACTTTCTAAAGATCTGCATACTTCTTGGCCCACTGCTGTGAACTTACTGTAGATATTCAAACTGATCAGGGTGGGGAAATGAATACTGAGTGGATAAAGCAACAAGTGATAAGAAAACCTAGTCCTCAATGGTGCCCTAGGGTCAGGGTGCACTGTGAAAGGTGAATCAGCAGACTGTGCTGAAGTTAAAGGAAAAAATTCTCAAAAAGTGTCTCCTCATTTCTCCCCATGCATGATGGCAGCCAAACTGAACTTCCAAAGTAGTGTTTCTTCATGAGTAATTTTAGGACCCCTGCATGTGTTCCTAGGGGTGTTAGTTAACGCTGTTTCTGAGCCTACCTCCAAACCCCAACTCCCAAAATCTCTGGGGAAAAGTCCTGGCCATCAGCATTCTGAGGAGTTCCTTAACTGATTCTTATCTGTGCTAACACCTGGGAACTGAAGTTCTGGAGTTCATATATTTATTTCTTTTTGCATGCCCAAGCTATTGTTACTGGGGAAAAAAATCCCTAGGCAAGGGGGAAGCTAGGTTATTTATATTAGTGTTTGATGGGTCCTGGAAGATAATCAAAGGGATCCAAACCTGTTCTTAGCTCCTCAGAAGTGAGTGGATTTGAGGATGGGAGATTGACTTGGTAATATCCCTATAGATATGCAGAGCACAGACTACTGAATGCTGAGCCTTCTGATGTTCTTGGGCTGAAGGTTCACTTTTTGGATTCTTATGGCTGATAAGTGACTGCTGATCTGAAAATGATGTGCAGAGTATTTCCCTTAACCTGCAGTCCAATTCACATGCCCTATTACAAGCAAAAAAATAGGGATATTCCAAGTTCATCCTAACCTTGCTTTGCTTTTCTCTTTCATTTCCTTTATAAAAGGCACGCACTATAGTGGAAATGCTTAGTTAGGTTAGAAGTATAATCATATTCATTCTTTAGCCAAATGGCCTATCTGGTCCAGAGATTTTGTTGTAAAAGCATGGTGTGCATTTTTCAGGCCCCTTTTGCCTGACCTCTGTCCCCCCTCACCGCATTCCCATTCCTTTTCATAGTGGTATGTAAACATGTTCCTATTAAATGTTAGGATGGTGTCAGAGATCCAGAACCTTCTTAAGAACTTGGCTCTTTGCCTGATCCAGTCAATCCTTGCCTGCAATGATATTGAGTTTGCTTTATTTTTAAGTATGCCCTCTTCCTTAAGTTACTCTAGCACTTCTACTGCTCCCCATTCAGAAATGTGGGTACAAATCTAGATTGGGGAGTTGTATCAAAAGCTATAGCCCTGGATAATTCTGTTTTATGTTAAGATTAAAACCAACAACCCAGTAAGACACAGGTTTGAGTAACAGTTTTATCTCTGGTTGATAGTGCAGAGAAAGGGCTAAAACCTGGGAATATTATTGTGGCACCTGGTGAAAGGTTAACAGGAGCTAGGGGTTGTCTGATTGTTCACAGGTCCCTTATACAGAGGTTACTCCTAACTTTGGACTCCTGCTAGGAAAAGGCTTTTTACCCTGGAGAACCTAGGAGGTGAGTTTGGAAAAAGAATCACTGCCGCATGTTAATCTGGGGAGAGCTGACTTGACCCCTAGAAGACCTAGATCTTGGTTTCCCTCACCTTTGTCAATCCTTACAAAAGAGCATTACAAAGTATCTCAAGGGCTCAGGAAAGCCAGGAGTTGGGGGAAGAGGGCAGCCTGATTGCCTAGGACTCACAAGTCCGATTTGTCCTTTGATACTCTTCCAGCTCCGTTTTTCTGCTCACAGCCAACTGTAGCTCCTGGCGGATCACCTGAATCTGCTTCTCCAGCTCTGAGAGTTCCTGCATCACTGAATTCCGAGCTACGTTGAGGTTGTCGGCTTTCCCATTGGTGGTCAGTGAGGCAGGGAGCTCTCTTCTCCTTGGAGGGAGAGGGATGTCTTGGTGGGTCCGAATGCCCAGCTGGTTTTGTCCTCCCTCATCACTAAAGATGTATTTTCGTTGGTTGTCATGACTCATATTGGAAGTATTCCACACCATGAGTTGATGGGGTCCTATGTTGGACCTAGGAAGCAAACACAGTTCAAATTCAACTTCCATTATGCAGCCTTCCAATGCTCTTCCCCTGCTGGCCGTGTCCTGCATGAACAATATAGAGCTGGGTATGCCTTTCAAGATGAAGTTACAAAGCCATTGATAAACTTGCTTGCTAGGTGGGTGGTGGGGGACTATAGGAGCCATGAACTTTCAACTGAAGTTCAAAGTCTTGTCTTGTCTTTTTTTTTTTTTTGAAGAGAGAGAGAGAATTTTTAAAATATTTTTTCAGTTTTCGGTGGACACAACATCTTTATTTTATTTTTTTTTATGTAGTGTTGAGGATCGAACCCAGTGCCCTGCGAATGCCAGGCAAGCGCGTTACCACTTGAGCCACATCCCCAGCCCCCTTATCTTGTCTTTTGTGCTTTAGAAATGGAATAGGGTATCATTTGATGGTATGTGGCGTGGCACATTCTTTTGTAAAGAACCTTAGGTGCCTTCCTGCAGGGGAAGCACAGTAAGCAACTCTGCCTTGAATAGTCTATGACTGTAAAGATGATGAGTAAAGATGATTTAGTAAGAGTGAAAGTCTCTTTATTCAGATATTGGCCTGCAAGCATCAGTCTGCTGATAGATATGATTATATGGCTTATCTCAATCTCACAGGGCCATGCTGATGTTTACTACTTGATTAAGGGGAGAATAAAAGTATATAAGCCACAGGTTTCAGCAAAATGCTTTTTATTACAGGGATGTTTTTATGTAGTTTGAGAATAACAGGTCAGATCTGATGCTTTAAAAAAAAAAAAAGTCCCAAGAAAGACTCAGGTTCTTGCTGGGATAATGAATGTCAAGTAGAAATGGATTTGAGGTTTGTGCTCCTCTTTCAGGCTTGCATTGTGGCTCCTATCATCATTGTGGAGAAGTGGCTATAGACAGTAAGAAAGTTATTGCTAGATAGGTACAGGAGGGAGGTGATCTTGTTTCTGAAATGCACTTTGATAGTTGTATGAAATGCGAAGATTTTCTCACTACAAGAACAGTTAAGAGCCCTATCCTAGGAGTAGACCAAGGAGGAAGATTATGACTTTATGACTGCTTTTGCTGTCTGGGCAAAATGCAGTAGAAACACCCTATTAAATCCTTGTATTTTTGCTCCCACCCACATTACTAAACTGACTATTCCTTTTTATCTGCCAGGGAGAAAGGGAAGGAGGAGTAAGGGCAAGGGTGATAAAGTCTTGATGCATTTACATGATTGAGAACAAAAACACAAGGTCTTAATAGAATGATTCTCTTTTGCTTGCCCTGAGGTAGACTGGAAATGTGGTCTGGTCCTTCATTCCTCCTTTCAGCCATGCTCCTCTGTCATGGGACTTGGCTGTACATCCCTATCAGGATGCTTCCCTTCTCTCTGAATGAGGACTGGCCTTATAACTTGTTTTGACCAATAGAAAAGGTGGCAGTTCCAGCCTAAGCTTTCAAGAAACATTTGTCTTCTAGTCCCCTGTTGCTACAATGTGAACAAGTCCACATTAGCTTGCTGGGTGATGACAGACCATGTGGAGAGAGTCCTCCATTGCCCTAGTAGACCAAATGAGACCAATCATAGGCCAGGCAGCTTTTAGTTACTCTCCCCTCCCCAAGCTGGCTGCAAACATAAGGAAGCCTGGTCCAACTTAGCCAAGTCTGGCTCAGATCAGCAAACTGCTCAGCTAATCCATAGATTAGTAAACAACTCACTGTTGTTGAAAACATTAAGTATTAGAACAATTTCTCACACAGTGAAAACCAACTGCTATATTCCCCAAGCCATTAAAGCACACAGACATACCAAACTACCCTTTAGTTCTTTAATGTTTCTCTTAGTTTGTTTCATATTAATGAGCAGAATGTACCAGAGCTCAGTTTTCCTATGTCCTAGATTGTGTAAAAGTTCTATAATGAACCCGCTTAGAGCTCCCCTAACTTTAAATTAGAATCAGAGAGAAGACAAATAATAATTTTTCTTCTGGCCTTAGGGTCCCCTTAATTTTTCACATGTTGACTATGTATATATAATCTCTTACAATATCCATTTGTTTCTCTGCATTAAATCAAAAAGGAACAACATCTGTCTCCATACTAGGGCTCAAAATTTTTGCAAGACTTTCCTCAAGATCATTTTAATAATTCATAATTCGTGGGCAAAGGAAATGTGGGCCCAAGACCACCTCTCATTCATAACAGAAAACAAAGGGGTAGACAGCATGATTGTTTTTCATAGCTGTATCTCCTATGGGGCTCCTGCAGTCCCTTCCCTCCAGGTCACATCTAACTAATCAGGAAGGTTTCCACTTTTCCTTACAGCCTCTCTTCCCAGTCAGAGAGTGCTTCCTGACCCCTTTTAGTCTGTGACATTCCTGTATCACAGTACAAGTGACAAACTGTGAGTGACAAACTGTTGGTTACTCAAGTCACAGCCACGAGGAGGACTTATTCTGTCTTAGCTTTGCCTCAAAGTAAGAGATTCAGAAAGGAAATCTGCAAAGAAATTGGGTACATTGAGTGAGCAGACACACTTGGCTCCCAATTGAGGTGAGATAGATGTGAATAAGAATGGCATCACAGTTGGAGCCGAGATCACTGGGCTTCCTGTTTATTGGTGGAAAACAAATGTTTTGTCATTGTAAGACTGCATCTTTGCTGCTGCTGTGTCTTCTTGTGTTCCTCTCATTAAAATTTTATGTTAAAAATAATTATAGAAAAATCTATGTAACGTGACATGGAACAGCTGTGACCTGATTAGGCTACAGCTTGTCACTAAGAGACTTTCACTGTGATAGAGGAATGCCACAGACTTGAGAGGGAGCAGAGAGTGCTCTCTGACTGGAAAGAGAGGCTCTAAGAGACAATGAAAATGATTCTGACTAGCTAGATGTGCCCTGGAATGAAGGGACTGCAACAGCCCCATAGGAGATACAGCCATGACAGAGAACCATGCTGTTCACCCCTTTTTCTTCTGTATAAGCGAGCGGTATGAAAATCAGATTTCAAACCTACCCAGAAAACTACACTTTGAAGCTGAGATACACCATGGATTGCAGAGTTGCTCAGAGCAGATGCCCCCATCTGAGGCCTCTGGGCACACGGAAGAACCAGCAGGGCATAGGCAAAGAGGCCACCAGAAATGCTTCTGAAATCTTCAGTCACCATGAATGAGGTGACAGTCGTGCACAGGTGGCCATGGTGAGGATGTAGAGTTTGAAGTTTCAAATCTCATTGATGCATTTAATGTTTGCTACTTCCTGCCAATGAAATGCTGTTTTCTAGGGAGTTCTAAGAGTGAAATCTAACGAAATCCATTAGGAAGGACATGTCTGTTGTGTATTTCAAATATTCCTAGGAGTGCTAGAAAGAGGTTGGAAGTAGAAACATGCCCAAAAGACAATAGCACATGAAATTAACTGCCTATAGCACTCATGAATTTAGTTTCAACTGTATTCTGTACCTAACAATAGTTAATATTTATTAGGCATTTGTTTTGATTTCAAGGTTTGGCAAATATTATCTCTTTAATCTTTACAGCAACTCTAGGAAATAAATATTGCTTTTCTCAGTTTCACAGATGAACCTGAAGCACAGGGAAGTTCAAGAACTTGTCCAAGGCCACACATATTTTAAGTGGTAGAGATAGGATGGATCCAGACACTTGACTCCAGTGTCCACACCTGCACTTTCAACCATGACAGTATCGTGCCTATTCTGCACGTGTGTTTGTGTGTGTGTGTTTTAGTTTATCTAAAACTATATGTACTTATATTGATTTTGTTTATCAACAAATTGTCCTGATTTGATCTGAAAAATTATTTAGTCATAACTTCCCTTTTGGGCATGGGTTCTCAGTTATGTCTCTAAACTTATTTTAGCAAGTACAAAGACAGCTGGCATTGGCCTCCTCTTACCTCTTTTCCACACGTTTGGTCTTGAAACGCTGTTGCTTTTCTTCTACAAATGATGTGTTTAATGCTCGATGAAATCTCTGTTGGAAAGAACAGATTCAGAGGTAGAGATCATTAGAAACACATGGGTCAGGAGACAAAGTACCGCTTGGGATTTAATGGAGTATCTAGTCTCTACAAAACTTGGCCTCTTTAACCAAATTTCAAGGATGCCTGAAGTATATCAACATTCAGCCTCAAACCTCAGGATAATAAGAATTCTAATTACATGTTATTATTCTACTTGAAGGGGGAAAAAAGAGATCTATTAGGAAGTTTGGAAATGTTTTGGATTGTAAAATGGTGAGTGATATAAAGAAGTGTGAACATAGCCCACGTGAAGTAAGGCCTTGTACATTTGCTAAAATGATCAAAACCTTGTTCCTACATTTTGGCAAGAGAAACATAAATCCTGAGAATTAAACTAATTATATTAACATATTAGCATACAACGGAGATCACTTTGTGGAACTCTCCTAGGAGACCAAGTTCTCCCGGGAAGGAAGCAGGATGAATAGGGTTCAACTGAAACCAAACCAATGATAGTATTCTATATAGAAACAAAAAGGTACAGCATTAAGAGAGCCAGAAGGTCAGCAAGAGAATAGACAAATAGGGGCAAGAGAGGCAAAATACACAGACTCACTGGTGAGAAGTGACCCAGGGTGTCCAGGTAGAGGGATCCCGCAACTGGGGAAACCAGGACCACTCACCCTCCTCACCTTGGTGGATGAAAACACTCTATTTGTGAGAGCCTCTCCATTATAAGACACCCTCTGACCACATTTTTGTTTTCCATGCCAATATCCTGAAGGTAAGTATGGGAGGAATACGTAAGGGGGTGTCAGAATGGTTGGTCTGCTAATGGTTTCTGTCCTCCCTGTACATCCATGTGATGGTGTCTGGGTTGCATGCAAGAACTGTGGCACTATTAACCTTGGCCTGAGCACCAGCAGGCTAAGAGGACCCTCAAACCTCTGGACTAGAGAAAACAACAGAGAACAGGGCAAATAGAGTCACTCAAAGGGAAATAGGGATCTTGAATTCATTTAATAGGGTTCAATTTTGGCAAGAAAAGAACCTGTAGGTAATACATTTTTCACACCATCTCTTAACATGGTCACCATTAAGTGGAACCTCATTAAAAATAGTTCTATTTATTCTATTATGAGCAGCAATGGAGAGCTATAGGAAAGGAAGGGACACTGGGATTGCTTAATTTAGGGGGAAGGCAAATCAATGGGAAAGAAGAAAATCCATCTTCTAATTGAGTGCCTACACTACTCTTGTTCTTTTGGGGGTTTGCCATTTGTCCGTCTGACATAGGGCTCTAGATCCTCCCATCACTGAGTATGGGAACATTGAAGCGAGAGACCTATAACACTCACCTGACTGGTGTGCAGCCAATATTGCAGTTTGGATTTGTTTTTGATTCGTGGTAACAGCAGCCTGTACACTATGTGCTCTCCAATGGTTGTCAAGATGGACAGACCAAATCCAATGCACAGCAGCACGAAGAGTCCAGAGAAATGTTTGATGCCCATTTGCAAAGTCTGTGACAAAAACAGGAAAGGCCATGAATGTGATGCTCCATGTGATCCAATGCCAATTCATTTTTTTTCTTTTCCAGACTCAGCTTCCTGCTTCTCTGGACCCAAGGAAAGCTGGAGACTATTCCTCTGTGTGTTTAGTGAATGTCAGTCAGTACTGGACTGAGGGTGGAGCAGAACACAAGCCCTGGGGTACTACTCTCATATTAATCTCATTGTATGAATAACAGCTGGTGTTGTGCCAAGGCCCTGGGTGTTAACAACACCCCACACCCCTTAGAGATGGAGAAAGTAGAGATGGAGCTCAAACAATTTAATATGTTCAAATGCTGAATAGCTGTGAAGGAAAGAGACTCTCTCAGGGACAGAGAATAAATAGATTTAAGGAGAAAAGAGATGCCTTTAGTAGTTGTGGAATTTATATCTGACAGGGAAAATGGAAATAATCTAGTTCAATGCCTTCATTTTACAGATAAGGAAACAGACCAAAGAAGTGTAGTAAGTTGAACCAGCCCATGAAATGAGGTAGCTGAGGAGGAGAAAGAGAAAGAACTTAATATTTATTTGTTGCAAACTTTTTGCCAAGTATTTTGTATTTAGATAGGTATTATAATACCCATTTTATAGTTAAGGACACATACTATGCAAGACCTTGGATGCCATGCTAAGGAATATGGGTGTTATTTGTCATCATTACCACTGATAATTATTTAGCACTTACTATGCATAAGACGCAGTTCTGAGTACTTCATCAATGTAGCAACTTGCCTAATCTTCATAACAACCTGTGAAGAAGGTACTGTTTATATCCCTATTTTATAGGTGAAATAACTGCAACAAAGAAGTTCAGTAACTTGTCCAAGGTCACATAGCTAAAAAGTTAGTGCTGGGTCAAGACATGTAGTTTATCTCCAGGAGAGCCACACTCTTGACTTCCTCATCTGTCTGATGTGAGAGATCCTCCTATTCTCTTTAAAGGATTTCCTTTATTTCATTCTCCCTGACCCTCCCCACCCAGTCCTGGAGAAAAAGCCAGCCAGGCATGGTTCAGGCACTAGGTGCACTGGGAAGTCCATCTTGGGATCAAGACTGGGAGATGGAGCCTAGTTCATTGATTCTCTTTTCCTCCATGATAGGACTTTGGGCAAAGACTGTAGATCAAAGATCAGCATTAGAATCCCCAAAGAAGGAAAGACAAGAGCTGCTCAGGGGCTCAGAGGTCTAGGAGACTGAGATATAGGCAGGAAAATGAGGCAGAGGATTTCAGAATAAAGGCAGATGCCTAGACCCTGCTGGTCTAGGAGAGGGTTTGGAGAGGAGGTACACTGGGCCCTCAGGACTACATAGGTACTGGGCCTTTTCCCTGGGAAATCTCTGTACTAGAAGTGACAAATTACATAAAATTAACCTCTAGAAAGTACATACAAATGTGTTGAAAGTAGACCTTGTCCTCTGTCTATTGTAAGGTGAACAGGATTGGCTATTAGAAATATCCAATGAGGAGTTATTGCTATGGATAAAGAAAAAACTGGGGAAATTCATTTTGGACTTTAACACTAACATCATCAGACATTCAGTAAAACTCTAAATAGACAGATGAGCACTGCCTCCTTAGGAAGCTAAGACATTGTCAAGATAAGGAAGAGAAATGAATGCAACTTATAACAAGACATCTTGCCTTTGAACACAGGGTTCTCTCTCTGTTTTCCTATGCATAACAGTAATTAGTCTCATTTTCCTCTGGTGACCTCAGTAATAAGTAGGCTATATTCAATTTATATTGCATATTTCTTTCTTTAAACTTCTGATGTTTATACCCTCATTCTAACAGATTATAGAAGTAGTTGTGTTTTTATTAGGCATTTAGTATGTGTGCCAGGAGCCACATATGCACATTATGATCTTGCAATAACCCCATAAGTTAAGTAGTATTACCTCCATTTCACATTTGAGCAAATGGAGAATCCTGGAAATTAATTACATTATCCAAGATCATATAAGCAAATATGTGGGGGAGTCAGACCAGGTAGTGAATCTGGGCAGTGTTATGCCTAAGCCTGCATTATCTCTTGAGCAAATGCCACTTATAGGTATCCTTTACTCTCTGAATTCTGTCTACTCACTGTAAAAACTTGCAAAAGAATTTTATTAAAAAACTCAGCATCTAAATTGAAAATCCATTATAATCTGCCTGTAAGCACCAACCAAAATGTTTAAGTTGTGTCTGAGTCTGAGTGATAAGATGTGCAGCTGCAGTTGATGTGCAGCTGTGGTTGTAATTTGGCCTTTCTTCCCCTAGGATCACGGATCTTTAAATGTGCTATGCATTGGATATTCACATCCACCCCAAGTTATCAAGTGAAAACCTTTTTTTCTAATAAGGTGGAACTTGCTCAACTCGACAGTCATCCTTGGATAGGGGAAAAAAAAAGAGGAGCAATGAATATTCATTGTCAAATATTTAAAATAAATTTAGCTGATGCAGACAAAAAGATCATTGCAGTTTCAAATGACATGAGCAGAAGTATATTTAAAAATGCAATCATGAGCCTGTTCTCATGTTGCTGAGAGCTGTGTAAGTGAAAGCTAAAAGAATGCAAGCAAACTAAACTTTTTAGTTTTTTTTTTTTTTTACTTCCTTTTAATCCCATTGCTTCATCTGCAGTTTCGTTTGATGGCTTACAGTCACCCTCTTCCAGAGCCTCCAGCTTCAAGAGAAGATTGTCCCAGGGTTTAGCCATGGGCAAATCTTATATAGTTAATGGCTTCACTTAGTTCTTCACTTAGTCCTACCCCCTTTTAGGCAAATCTTTCATCAGTAAGTAACCATTCAAGAAACTGCATTGCTTATTTTTCAAAATTTTATTTTATTTATAATATAAAGTATTTCACTCATCATTTGCCTGAGATCTTACTGATCAAATCCTATGCAACTAATCTTCTCTAACTCCAATCCACATCTCCCAACATATATCAACATATATATTATGTTTTGCATTCTATTTATATTAGTAAACATTTATTGCACTGTGGAGGGAAAGCATAGTTTTTATCTGATATCATACTTTGCATATTGCATCCAGGGATATCCACTAAATAAGCACTAAAAAATTGGCATTGTAAATACTCTATATTATGCAGAAATTCTTGGTGGATTGTCATATAAAACAATCTATGCATTGTGCATCAGGTATTTGACAATGATAGGTGTCTAAGAGTATTTTAGTGATACTTCGGGAAACTGGTTGGGATTCTTGGATATGGTGAGAATCATTTTTTATAATTTTTTTCCATCTGGAAATTCACCAGTGAACACAGTTCTAGGAGCCGACAAGATTCAGATAAAGAGGGAGATGCCTTTGCTATTAAAAGTGTGCTTTTTGCCCAGATCATCAATGCTTCCAGTAAAATGTAGGGGTCATCATTGGTTGGGGGAAGAAGCAGCAATTTTGCTGCTGCCCAAACCTTGTTTTGCATCTTGCTCAGATGTGGGCACTTGAAACATCTGACAGCTGGCTGGATAAGTGACAAGTTTTCAAGCCTCCAGCAAGAAATGCAATTAAAGTATTTCACTCATCATTTGCCTGAGATGTTACTGATCAAATCCTATGCAACTAATCTTCTCTGCCTCCAATTCACATCTACCAATATATATCAACCGTTCAATTTCTCTGGTTCTCTACAGTTTCTATATTTATTGGTTTTGATTCTCCTCTCATTGTCTCCTGGACCCACTTAACTCAGGCTTTTGTTTTCCCCTGCCCTAATTACCTGTCAAGCAACTCCTATCAGTCATCAATTACCTCCATATTATCAAATCCAGTGATCAATTTTCACCTAATTCATGTATCCGCAGCTTGGGCATTGTTGATTGCTCCTTCCTCTTTGATAGCGTTTCTTCAATTTGTTTTTGGAATACCCCTATCTCTTTGTTCCATCTCAATCTCTTGCACTGTTCCTCCTCATCTTTCTGACATGCCTTCAATCCTTTGCTCTCACTTTCTCATCCACAATATGGCTTTAAATACCACCTATACATAATGATTCCTAAGAATTTGGGACTTTTATTCCTCAACTCCCTATTCAACTTCTTTACTTGATTATCTAATGGATATCTGAAATTTAAAACATCAAAAATGAACTCCTAATTTTCTCCTTGAAAGCTGCTTCTTACATTGTCCTTCTCATCTCAGTGAAACTCCATCCCTACAATTGCTTAGGACAAAAGCTATAGAGTCATCTTTGACTCCTCTCTTTCTTTTGCATTCTGTATCTCATATGCCTCTAAATTTATGGTAGACCTGATGTTCAGAGTAGATCCAGAATCTGATGACCTCCCACCACTTGGACCATACATCCTGGTCCAAATTACCATCACATCTTACCTAAATTATTGAAATAGCTTTGCAATTATTTTCCCTGATCCCTTCAGCTTGTCTTTTACATGGCAGCTAGAATGACCCTCTCAAAACATCATGTTCCTCCTGTGTTCAACACCAAGGTTTTCCATCTCATGCAGAGTAAATTACAGAGTTTTATAATGGGCCTCAAGCCTTATGTGATCTTGTCTCACACTTCCTAATTGCACATCTTCTTTCTCATTTGTTACTCTGCTCAGCCTGTGGGATGCCCCAGTGTTCCTTAAATCCATTCAGCAAATAGTTGCTCAAAGGATTTTTATTTTCTGTTTTCTGCCTGTAAATTCTTCTGCCAGGAGTCAATATTGCTTCTTGCTGACTTTTCATCAAGTCTCTGCTAAAATTCACCTATTGGGTGAAGTCTACCCTAACTACAGTGGCTCTTCTTCCTCCTCTCTCAGACAATCTGTCCTCCTAAATTAGACTTATTTTCCTCTTGACATATATTTATTTATTCATATTTCCCTTCTCAAGTAGAACATAAGCTTCAGGAAAACAGGGATATTGTCTATTTTGTTCAGTACCTAACCTGATTATCTAGAACAGGATATAGCACACATCAGGTGTTCAATAAATATTTCTTAAATGAATGAGAACATCTAAAAGAATCTTATTTGTGTAACATAAATTTGTATATTTTCTTCAAACACTTTCATAAACCTCAGGAGTTCATAGAATAGTTTTGTGAGGAAGAAAATGAGAGGAAGAGATTTCCAACTGATAGGTGAGAAAACCAAAGCCCAAAGAGCTGGAAAAACTTGCCTCCTTGACCTGATTATGCTGGAAGCTGGAATTCATCAATTCAAGGAGCTAATGTGGGAACTGGGAGGAAAACTATGTTTTAAAAACAGACAAACACTGGGTACTGGACGCAATAATTTCAGCTGTTTTGTGGTGAGAGAGAGAGAACAAATCTTTTTTTTATATCTTGTAGATGGACACAACACAATGCCTTTATTATTATTTTTCTTTATGTGGTGCTGAGAATCGAACCCGGGTCCTGTGTATGCTAAGCGAGCGCTCTACTGCTGAGCCACAATCCCAGCCCACACTGTATTGATTTTTAAGATCCTTTCCCTGGGAAAGTGCTCTCCTCTTACCTCATGTGGTTTTGGTGTGTTTACCTATCAATCATATACTCATTGTTCTCACTAGCCCGGGTCCTGGGCCAACCATGTGACCCAAGTAGGCAGAGACATTTGGAATCTAGGTGGTTGGAGCTGAATGACTGCCAAAGTTAGTGCTCCCAAGACATAGTCCTCTAGTTGCTGCCTAATGACCCAGGAGTCCTGTGGTTCCTGAAGCCTCATCTATTGCTTGCTTTCTTCCTTCAAAGAATTGAGCTTCCCCATTATTCTTTTGATAGT